CCAGTATAAAAAGGGTTGGGAACCACTGCACTAATAGATCTGGGGAAGGAAGAATACGTGTGCCACCTACTGCGATGGGAAGAATAACCAGCATTCTTGGCCACGTTAAGTTTAAAACGAGAGGCCAGCTAAGCACACACAGACACATACAGGTTAGGGTGGAGAGGCCATGGTGTACATCAGTGTGAAGATGGCAATTGCACAGAGCAGAGGAGATCACGTGATGGCCAGGTCTACACGGTTCAAGTTCACAACTCCAGCTGTGTAAAACATGCCTCGCAACTGCAGGAGTACTGGCACCAATCAGAGCTGCTCTCATCATTCAATTTAGCGTGTCTTAACTAGATCCACTCAATCGAAGGCCAGAAGATCGATATCTGGCACAAGTGAAGGCATGGCCTAAGAAAAAGCACAGCGAAGGTAGCAAAAGAAAGAGCCTTGTGCAATCCCCATGGATTGTGAGAGGAGGCGGCAGAGAAACTATCCAAAGGGATGGGAAAAGAATGGCGTAAGAGCTAGGAGAACACAGAGAGGAAGACACAATAAAAGCAGCTGAGAGATCAAGGATGACAACCATGGAATAAAAGCCGAGATTTGGCAAGATTTCCTTGACAGATAATTACCCTAACACAATGAAAAAAACCAGGTCTTTTGTTCCTATCCATATTAAATTTGTTTGTTTTAGGGAGACACATACAACCCTTTCTTTTCTGTTACCCGGCCCTGTGACACTGATTACACAAACAAATCATGAACTTCTTTGATGAGCAGAAGGCAGAAGCCGTGCTCACAGCCTCTTCATCTCCAACTACATTATCCCAGCTTTCTCCTCAGCCCTGCTGCAAGGCAGCAGCTCCATGTACAAATCCAAAGTCATATGGGTCACTGAGCTGAGATGCTATGGATATGTCTACACGGCAATTCAAATCCCATGGCTGGCTCGCAGCAGCCGACTCGGGTTCACGGGACTCAGGCCAAGCTGGTATGCAACAGGGGTGCAGACATTGGGCAGCATGATGGATCCTGCACTCTTGAACCCATGTAGGTGAGAGGGTCCAGAGGCTGGGCTGCAAGCGAGCGCCTACCTGCAATCAAACAGCCCCTCTGCTAGAGTAAGCTGGCCTGGGCTAGCTGCCGATGTCAAATTGCAGTGTAGACAGAACATGATTCTGCTTTCCTACAGGTTTCAAAGCCTTCATCCAACTAGGATCCAGGCACGGGGACGAGGCGGCATGACTGGAAAGGTCGTTGTGATGTGGCCGAAGAGAGGCAGGCATCAGATGCCATTGTCTTGGAAGGGGCAATTTAAGTAGGGGACTCCGAGGAACAAGCCCACGTAACTGCAGGGATGACTGAGCGGTGCCGAGCACGATAATCAATAGGCGAGGCTGCTGAGGGGCAATTAAGGAGCCCAGCGGAAGGGGAGGGGGACACCACAGTAGTTAGCTATGTAATGGTGCCACTTCAGAAGCAGTCACAGAAGAAAGCGTATCATTTGCGGCTGTGCATGTCCAATTAGAATATTGGTTTCTGCTGAAGGGACGTGATTCTAACCTCCAGACCCTTCTGCAGGGAAGGAATCAACACACTTTGCCGAGTGCCAGTGACAATGTAATCTGTTCCAGACAGAATGATTTCACACCTGCCATTCAGTGGCCGACCCAGCTGGGGAGCACAAAGCTGTTTCCATGGGAAGGTATTTTAAAAAGACTGATTTGCATTGTGTCAAGGAGATGCAACACTGCCTGGTTGTACATGGGGCAGCTTCCAGTCTTCTCCGCCACAAGACACTGAGTCCTTCGCCAAACACTTGCAAATGCCAATAATCAATGCTTTAAGCAAGCACAGGGCTTGGCCTTTAAGAAAAAATGTTGCTCCTTACTGACAAGTTAATTTCTCCTATACCCTAGATCTGTAATTTCAGTACATGAGTGATAGAACATGAGTACATGAGAACATGAATAGAACATAACTGCCTGCATCAGCCCTTCCAAAAAACAACTGAATAGAAAATACCAACTTTATAGACTCTAACAAAGGATAGAATCTAGCAAACCCATCTTAAAGTCATACAGGACAGTTCAATAAAGCCTATGCATTGTGTGGCAGTGGCCACAGATCCCTGTCAGGATACTGGCTGCTTTCTGTCAGGCACTACACACACAAACAAGCCAAATCCCAGATATCTGCAATCAAATGCAACTGTGCAGAATGAAGAAATCAGACTCAAAATGTTAAAGATGTTGAAATTTCAATAAAAGGTTATTAAATGTCTGTGAAACTCACTTGGTTTCATTCCTAGTAACTTCCTCGGGACGTTGAGTGGATTGGGAGGCAGTTAGAGGTTTCCGCAGGCAGCAAGAAGTGCCTACTGACTGCTCTATCCAACAGCTTCCTCACCTCGCTGTAAGTGCACTTGGAGAAGAAGTCGTTCATCTAAACGCTAACCCTGGGTAATGCAGGCAAGTGATGGTCTAACCGAGTTCTGCTCTGGGAATGCAATGGGGACTCTACACAGCACTGATTCAGGAACGTAGACTCAAAAAGATCTCAACATTTTCTCCTTGGAAACATGGTTCCTTCCAGGCTGGACCATGGGTTCTTTTGTCCGAGAAACGAAACCTACAGGAAAGGAGGGGGGTCACCTTTTACCCAATGCGTTTACCTTTATGTGCCTGGTCTCCCCTGACTAACACTGCAAGAAAATCATACGTGGAACAGCTGCTCCATTCTTAGGCTTGGCCTACACGATCCACTTACACCTGTATAACCGCACCACACCGGAGAGGGCTGCTCCCACCCCTCGTGGAGGTGGGTTACCACTGCCTGCAGCAGCAGCTCTACTAACGACATCGGCGGCATCCACATTAAGTGCTCCAGGGACAAAGCGGCACTGGTGCGTATAGGCAAGCCCTTCCAAACAGCATTGACCACTAAGTTTCTCAACAGTTCCTTCAGGAATTGGATTGTAGCAATAGCTGAAAAAAGCACCCTAAGGCATTCAATTGTATAAACACCACCTTACGTCACACCAAGGGCTACCAAGAATGATACAATAACTAACCTCTCTCTCGCTTAGACACCAGGCTTTGTAATGCACCCTGGAAAAGACAAAAGTGTGCTTCTGTCGACAGGAGACACCTTTGAGAAGTCAGCCAGCTAGTAATCACTGGATAGAGTCCATGCAATAGGCCAAACAGAAAACAAAAACCAGTGACAGCAGAACTACCAACCCACAGACCTGACCCTGCTGCTGGTTCCACCTGTCCGCCTTGGGGACCACAAGTTCTGAAGACAGAAACTGAATCTCGCCTAGTGCACAACAGGTGCCAGGTGCCCCTCACTTTGTCTGCAAGTCATTTCTTTATTTAAAAGGATTATTTTTCTCTGGATGAGCTTCCGTGGGCGAGAGATTTCTCAGGGCTGAGCACTGTCAGTCTAACTGCGCAGCACGCGTTCAACGGCTAGGCCCTCTGGTTGGGGATGCTGGGAAAAGTCGGCATTTGGTCGTACGCCCCAACCATAGGCAGCAATTGATCTAAATCTCTGAGGAAAGACTGTGGTGTCCTAGGCAATTCAAAATGGCTCTTTTATCCGTGGCATGGTGAGGGGCAGCACCTCTGAACACCCTGATGCTGAAGGCGGCCTGTACCACCTTCCTTAACCCTCAGTATCTTTAAATCGCACAGTCCTCGGCTCTTAACACCTCACTCTTCGTGGTGCTGTGTCCCTGCCATTCTAAAACGACTGTTTACACTAAGATCCAATTTCATGCTGCTGTCTGAATCATGAACGTCTCCAGAAAGCTTGCACAGCGGCACAATTAAAACACTGAAATTCATCACATTGTGTTCTCTTTGCCACTGTATTTGTTATATTCCCTACAATTAGACTGGAACATACTTGTAAATACCATGGTAACTACTTTGTGCCGTAAATTAAGATTTCAGTGGCACCCACACAAATATAAACACAGGCGGATTTATTGTTATATTGATTCTAGAGTTATTACAACGACGGAAGGGACTTCATAATTTGCAGGCAACAGCTTGAACTTGGGTTAATAATGTTTAAATAAAATCATCTTTCTGTTGTCCTTATGCATGGTAAACACAAGATTGGGTTCACAAACTCAGTTTTGAAACGCACATTTCATTGTGCAGAGAGCAGGAAGGAATGGGAGAAAGCAGGAACGAAGAGCAGGAGAGAGAAAAAAGAGAAGAGTAGTGGGAAGGAAAAAGAGACTTTACGTTAAAAAAAATAAGATCCAGAATATTCCAAATCTACTCAGTTTTCAGAAGCTTTCTGCTTTTACATTTAATTAAAACGAGCGTAACTAACTTGAGGGTGCTTCTTATTAGCTCGATAACCACATCCTGGGCTCACTGACAGCCTGGGGGGCTTGTTTGCCATCTAAGCAACTGCACCTCCAGCCTCACTTTTAAATTTAGGCCCAAATAGGTTGATAATGTTGTAAACAGATTATCCCTCGAGTTATCATTATTTCATTTCCACGGCATGTTAGGGAGCGAGCTGCCTTAAAAATCTGTGACAAGCTGCTCTCCAGCGAGCTAACGAGCCAGTTCAAACACCACAGCAGGGAGGAACACGGAGGGGAATGGCGGGGGCTTTTCCCATATGGATTTTACTGCTACCTTCCTGCAGCATTTAAAAGTACGTTCATTATAAAGGAGGCACATAGGTCTTCAACAATTAAGGTTCTTCCTCCCTCTCTGGAGATGTCTGAATAACAACTTTCTATACAAATATTGCCATGAGCAGATACAGAATCTATAACCTACTGAACAAGAAGTGGAGGCAAAATGGAGGTGCACATTTTTGTACAGTACAATATATATCACTGTACAGACTGTGCTACCAGCACACAGAATGTAAAATAGGAACACACAACACACAGACATGACTAGAAGGACGCTTGTGCAGAAATGCAGACAATATACATGGGTCAGCACTGGGGCAGATATTCAGCGACCACTTACAAGTGGAATTTCTCCTCCCAAACAGGGTTCAGATTACCAAAAATGGTTTTAGTTCTCTTCTTCGTTTTGCCAACTTGCACTGTCACATACGGATCACTGGATCCAGTTTTGTCCTTGGCCTGCAGACCCTGAGCACAAACCACTGTGGAGAAAAAAAAAAAAAATTTTGCTATAAGCCTGCAGTGCTACAAGATGTGTGCATGTAACAGCATGGAAAAGATCAATGCACTACTCCCTTCAGAAACAAGAATACTCACCTATGATAGCCTCTCTGTATAACACTCATGCCAGGTCTACACTGGTGGAGAAAATCGATGCAAGGTATGCAACTCCAGGTACATGAATGGTATAGCTGGAGTTGATGTACCTTGCATTAATTATCTGGGGCAGCCCCAGAGCAGACGGTCAACTGGAGCAACTCTTCCATCGACTTTCCTAATGAAGGATAAACTTAATTTGTTGTCAGTATGACCTCTGTGTGACCTGGATGTTAAGTCTGGTCTTTGTAAAGAGGTACGTGCTTGGACACAGGTACACAAAAGAAGGGGATAGGTGAAACTGGTTTGAACCTGTTGTAAGGCCTGCAAAGGGACTGTGAGGGGACAAATAATGATTGGAGGGAATTTGGTGCAAAGGGGCATGACCTGTATATGCATGCAATTGTAAGTGGTCAGTGAAAAAGGGGTAATTACCATGGAAGGTAGTAGAAAAGACCTTGCCTTTTGCTTGGGCAGTTGCAGAAAGTTTTCCTGAGTATCCTGAAGATTTTTGCCCTGGAATGCATTCCTGAATAAAGCTGGTTGCTTAAGAAGGGTGTCTGGAATTGATTTGGTAGGGGTTTTGGGCCCCCATCCGAACCCTCTGATTAAATTCTCGGTCACTTACTCCTTACAACAGTGGTGCCCTCGGCATATGATTTAGAGGGTCTTTACTAGACCCACTAAATCAAACCCTGGAAGATTGATTGGCAAAGCATCAATCCTCTGGTAAGTGGAGACGTGGCCTAACAGCCACAGATTCTAAGGGCAGCAGCAACCTTTGTGATCATCTTGTCTCAACTTGAGCATAACAGACTCATAACTGTACCCAGACAATTCCTAGGGTAGAGCTATTAGAAAAACATCCAGTTCTGACTGAAAAGTGGTCTGTGATGGAAAATCCACCATCACCTTAGGTACGTTTTTCCCAACGGTTATTCCCTGCTAAAATGTACATCTTATTTCCAACTTGAATTTGTCTAGTTTCAGCTTACCGGTGATAGTGATTTTCGCAGACCATTTGGAGGTGCCATCAAGCACGCTCTGTTTCACGGTCTTCATTTGCTGAGCATGCGTTAATTTGCTCTCGCAAAAAACATCTCTGATCAAGTCAAATATTTCTGGCTTGTTCCGTTCTCGAATCTTCATGCGGTCCTTCATGGCCATGATAATGTTCTGGGTCCTATCCTCCGCTCCGTGTTTAGAGCTCTTCTCTGCTGCTCCTGTGGACAGCAAGGTTTGCAACAGTTACCAACAACGTGCAAACAAACAGTGAGGAAATAAGGAAATGACAATAAGGATGCCTGGGCTCAAGTTTATTATATTAAAAACAAAATCAGAGAAGAGAGACTGTGATACTGTGGACTACAACTTTATCAACACTGGGCGTTGCAATGTGAAGAGTGAGTGACAGTCAAACGTCCTGTCACACTAACAACCACCAATATTGGTGGGGAACAGTGCACAAGGGAGACAGACTGAATTAGTCCAAACAAGATGGCCTCCTGGGATAATTCAAGCTCTGTGTTAAGATCATGCCTTGCAAACAGGAAAAGTCGTGGGAATGGACAAGCCGCAAACCAAAATCAGTGTGTTGGAAGTAAAGCCTAATTGGTGGCAAAATAATGAAGGGGTGGGGCTGTTTTTGTCCATCACTACCTTTTGGAGTCCTTTAGAAAAGGAGAAAGAGAGAAGAAGGAAAATGGGTTAAACAATGCCAGGAACTCCTGGGCCCCAGGATCTACCATAACACTACTGGGCTTTGCTCATCCTAACACAGGGATGCTCTGACCGGGCCAAACAGTGGGACCTAGATGACATGGCCACTTCCACCTGCTCCGACGGAACTCGAACAACTACTTGGGATGTGAGATGTTGAGATCTCTCTACCCCCACCCCTCTGCCCGTGAACCCTTTCCTTTCCCATCTTGCTCTGAACTCCAGTATAAAGAGGGAGAAAAACCTGTTGAGAGCCTATGGGTTAAGTTTAAAGGAGCAAACAACAGCAGTGATGTTGTGGTTGGTGTCTGCTACAGGCCACCGAATCAGGTGGATGAGGTAGATGAGGCTTTCTTCGGACAACTGAGAGAAGCTTCCAGATTGCAGGCCCTGGTTCACCCTGACATCTGTTGGGAAACCAATACGGCAGTACACAGGCAATCCAGGAAGTTTTTGGAGAATGTTGGGGATAACTTCTTGACACAGGTGCTGAAGGATCCGACCAGGGGCCGTGCGCAGCTTGACCTTCTGCTCATAAACAGCGAGGAACTAATAGGGGAAGTGGAGGTGGGTGACAACCTGGGAAGCAGTGATCATGAGATGGTAGATTTCAGGATCCTGACCAAAGGAATAAAAGAGAGTAATAAAATACACACCTTGGACTTCAAAAAAGCAGATTTTGACGCCCTCCGAGATCTGATGGGCAGAATCCCCTGGGATGTTAACATGAAGGGGAAAGGAGTCCAGGACAGCTGGCAGTATTTTAAAGAAGCCTTATTGAAGGCACAGAAAGAAACCATCCAGACGCGAGTAAGAGAGGCAAACATGGTAGGAGACCGGACTGGCTTACAGGGGAAATCCTTGGTGAACTTAAGCACAAAAAGGAAGCTTACAAAGAGTGGAAACTTGGACAAATGACCAGGGAGGAGTTTAAAGGTATAGCTCGAGAATGCTGGGGGGTTATCAGGAAGGCGAAAGCGCAAATGGAATTGCGACTGGCTAAGGATGTGAAGGATAACAAGAAAGGTTTCTACAGGCTTGTTAACAAGAAGAAGGTGATCAGAGAGGGTGTGCGGCCCCTAATGGATGAAGGAGGTAACCTAGTGACAGATGATGTGGGGAAAGCTGAAGTACTCAATGCTTTTTTTGCCTCTGTATTCACGGACAAGGTCGGCTCCTGGACTTCTGCGCCAAGTGACGCAAGATGGGATGAAGATGGACAGCCCGTGGTGGGTAAAGAACAGGTTAGGATCTATTGAGAAAAGCTAAACGTACATAAATCCATGGGTCCGGACTTAGTGCATCCGAGGGTACTGAGAGAGTTGGCAAATGTCATTGTGGAGCCTTTGGCTATTATCTTTGAAAAGTCGTGGAGATCGGGAGAAATCCCG